AGCACAGGCATGTGTCAGGCCTGATGAATGTAAGCTGCAGTGAAACTGCACATCTACTCAATGCACACACTGGACTGCAATACACAATGGACAACTTACAGCTTTAAAACGGTCTAGTTTAAGAGCAAACTCAAATTACATCAGTCATATAATAAATCTGGATAATACTTTATTGAACAATAGTAGAAATAATGCATCTTAAAGGGGTCATATGATGCTGCTAAAAGGTAGGCGTGGCTGACTCTTAACTTTTATAAAGAATATCTCTTTGGATTTGAGACTTTAGTCTTTGCAACTTTACAGATCTTCTTTATGCACCAAGAGCTTGTAACACTCCAAAGAGAAAGGACAAATTTAAAATCGCATCATATGACCCCTTCAAGTGAGTAATTTACTTTTAATGCATAAAAAGTATTAGGATTAGAGCTGGAAACAAGTTCTCGTATTTACATTACTGTAAATGATTCTAAATCATTTTGAGCTTGCTCTAAAACAGCTTTCTACATTTCAGCACATGTTGGATACCTTCAGTTTAGCATAAGGCTTTGTTAAAGACATTTTACACTGAACTGAAAGGCCGTTGATAATGAGCCTTCTGTTTACATTTAATTAACAGGCTTCTCACATTATGGTAGGGAACCATGCATTCGTACCACATGGTGACTTCTCCCCTCAGTGGAAACACTGAGATGTCGGTCACTGGAGGACCATATACCCTTAGAGTGCATATGCTAAAGTAAGAGAGCCCTCTTATTTAATACTGCACAAGAGAAAACTTAAGTACCTTTGCTCAAATGAACTCCAGAGTGGTGCACTGTCCCCCCCCCCCCCTTAAGGGGGTTTGAACCCAAAAAGTTCTGCCATTGGCTTTGGAAATATAGTACAGTCAAGAGATATGTTCTACAGCACAGACAACACAGAGAGAAACGACAAAGAAGAAAAAAGGAAAAGAAAAACACAAACCTACTTAGAACAAGAGAACTGGATAGGGAGACAACAATTTGAGATCACTGACATCCAAATCCAGGGAAAAAAAAAAGCTGCCTCTAAAATGTTTAGGACATGAAGCCCTGGGTGAAAAACCTTACGGAAATATATTTTGTACACATCTGTTCAGTGGCAATGATTCTTAAAAAGAACAGTTCACCCAAAAAATGAAGCTTTGTGATTTAAGGCCCATTCACAATAAGGATGATGACTATAAAACTTTAATAATAGTTCTGATTGTATGACAATAAGGACACACTACAACTATAACAATATTGTTGGTATAACTTTCATAATTTTTTTTGACCAAACAATAAAAACATTAACAGCCAATCCGAATTCACGCTTACAATTAAACAGGACATCATTGTCCATAGGTGTGGATGCTTATATAGTTATTGTTTGAGTTATCATTTCTGGCTCAAAAACATTGTTTTGAACATTGAATCGTGTTGTTCCAAACCCGTATGATTTTCTAGACTAGTGGAAGATGATTTTCACTGAGTCATAGCTTAAATTTGGGTTTGTTTGGCTTCAGAAGCTTTATTTCAACTATAAGATGCACTTACTGCTTTTGTGATATTTGCATCCTTTTTAAAGCTTGAAACAAGTCTTGAATGAAAATAAGCAACAAGGACAAAGAAAATTTCTCCTACTGCATTTCACAGAATAAAGTCATACAAGTTTAGAATGACATCCGGATGTGTAAATGAGTTCATTTTTGAACTACTCCTTTAATGTGACTGACAACAAAATTTGACAATTTGTGAAAATTAGCGCAAAGAACTTGCATATTGCTTAAACTCATCCAAAAATTACAGGACTTGAGCTACCAGTATGGCATGATTGGCCTGGATGACAAATATATATGTTTTTGTTACAATGACTGCAAAAAAAAAAAAAAAAAACACTTAATATTTTTTCTTATTCCCTAAAAGCTCTAACACTTTATTATACATATACTGGTAACACTTGAACAACATAAAAAGGAAGTACAGGTTGCCTGATGCAACCTGTTGTTTATCAAATATGTGTAATACTCCAACAACTGAAAGGCAATCAGACACTTTGCAAACCCCTTTCAAGACAAAGGGGAAGAGTGGTCTCGGGGTGAGCATTGGATAGGCCCCTTACCTAGCACCTGCTCTCCGCTGGGGTGTCTTGTGAGAGTTATTTATGGGGAGCTTTTACGGTTCAATACAGAGTCTATAAGGAAAGAGAGAGGTTTCAGTAAACTCACGTACACTGCGTCCATTTCCCAAGTTTTTCAACCTAACGTTATTTATAATAGCATGGCTTTTGAGATGTCTGTAAAACAGACAAGTTAGGAAAACGATGGACTCTAAATAGACCATTTAAGCGGCCTGCTCTGATTTACTACAAAAACATTACCTAGTCAATGTTAACATGAAGTAATCACACTGACTAGGAGGTAAAAAAAAAAATCAGCATTCAATGAAGTATGAGGCCCCGTCCACATGAATGTGTCCCATACGTTCTCACCGGCCATTAGGAGGCCTTATGTAATGTTGGGATTAACGATACTCAATTCGATACTCAAAAAGATTGCTCGACGACAATGCACATCTTTCAAAAGCGAATAGTAACTGCAAAGAAATCGTAACAGCGTAAAGACTTTTAAACGGAGCGTTTAGTTTCTGGACCGTGCAGCATCAGCGAAGTTGATTCAGCTCATGGAGGACAATGTGAGCGGGTTAACACGCTAACTTCATGTAACGAATGAAGAAAGCGAGTGAGCACAGGCGTGTGGTTAACAAACATGGTAATACACCGTTAAAAATAACCATTTGAAACAAATCCTAACAGTTATAAATCAGTCGAGCAGGATGTAATCACTGTGGTTCTAAAAAGACACGCAGCAGCAGGCCAGGGAGAAAATCCCGCTCTCGGTGCGCTAAGCTAGTTAGCCATTTCCCTGTTCTCCTTAACTTTTTTTAATGAAACCTCTGTCCGAAAACACTACTATACACTCTTTAAATACTACTGTGTGTATATTAAGAGAGAAGTTAAACAAAATATTACATTTACCGCTGAAACAGCCACCGCCATAGAGCACACCTTCCAGCGCTAACGTCCACACGGCGAGGAAGACTATGAAATCTCGCGATACCGAGAGAGAGTTAGGTAAGAGGCGCGCAGCTGCAGTGTGGCCGATCAGGCTGTGATTGGAGGAAAGCAAGTCGCATTGAAAAAACAAAATGTAATGATGATGTAAGTTAGAGAACGCAATAAAACATAATTTCTCATTTTCTTGAGATAGATAATATGTGGCGCCTTTGATAAGACGATCGCAAAAGATGAATTCATATTTCTAATGTAGAGAAATAGCGTAAAAGCCCACACATAGATATTTCAGTTGAAATCTACATTAATTATACATTAGAGCTTTTTTATGCTATTACACAAAATAAATAAATTCAGCCATATTAAAGTATTAATTTTATAATTTAATGTTATAGTATTCCATGTCACAGTACACAATTTCAACACAAAAAAATAAAAAATAAAACTGCCCAAAGAACAAGTCTGGTTAATGTGTTTGATTAAGATGAGAAAGGACACCAGGAATTAGGAAGAGTATATTTAAACAGTCACTGTACATTCATATCTCTTGTATCTACATACAAATTTATTACACTGCAAGACATTAGAGTCTTATAATAACACTGGAAGGATGGTGAATTTTTCCTTGACATCTGAATCATTTGAATTTGCAAGAATAAATGGAGATTACAAATCCCTTGTAATAGTTTTCTGAAGCTGCAATACATCCATTGTACAACCATGCCAATATATAAAAAATGAACAATTCTGTAAAAGCATTCCTTTCCTGACATGCACATATTTTTCAGTAATATTGGGAAGTCAAAGCCATTGGAGAGTACAGTACTGAAAGCATCCCTAACAGATACTATTGCTTTGGATGGCATGGCAACATGGATGTTTTCACAGAATGAATACTTGTAAATGTGCAAGTGTCAATCAAATACAGGATACTATTTTTGCAATGTAGTACCCACTCTTGCCAGCACTGCACCCAGTACATCTTTGCCCGTGACATGGTTCAAGTTCTTACATATAGAATACATACAAAGCAGTGTATGAATAATTTTACACGACACAAAATATATGCATACTGTGGTAATATGTAAATGCCAAACAGAATAAGAGCCCTTCATTCCCAGTGGAGGGATTTATTAATGTAAACCATTGTTTCTTCTGATTCAGTCAACGGTCAGTTCATTGTATGCTATCGCTATGCATTAATTAGTGTAAGGGACAAAGAAATAATTATAAGTAAACTGGACCCATATATGTTAAACACCTCTAAGCAGACAGCTGATCTAGGATCAGGTCATATTCACATTAAGAAGGCAAATAAAAAAAAAAACACTGTTACATTCATGAACAGGACCTCTGTGTCATTAGCTGCTTAAAATGCTTTTATGATTAATTGTTTGTGTTTGTATCAGTCACTTTGGTTAAAAATGTCTGCTAAATTAATGAAAGCAAAAGTCTTACTGAATTTATCGATCGACTCAGTTCAAGCTTTTTCTTGGTAAAATACATCTGATGAAATGCTCTTCTGCTTTGTTGCTTAAAACTGAGCAAATATCAGATGGAACATCTTGTACACTTGAGGTCAGTAAGATTTTTTGAATGATTTTGAAAGAAGTCTCTTAAGCTGCATTAAGTTTGATCAAAAATACAGTAAAACAGTAATATTGTAAAACAATAAAAAATAAATAAATAACTGTTGTTTCCTTATTTTGTGCTCAAGTAACAATTCTTATTGTTATCAATGTTAAAAACAGTTGCTTAATATTTTTGTGGAAACCATGATACATTTTCTTCAAATTTCTAGGATTAATATAAAGTTTAAAAGAATAGCATTGTTAAAAACAGATTTTTTCATAACAATGTAAAAGTTTTACTGTCACTTTTGATCAATTTAATGTGCCCTTGCTGGATAAAAGTATTAATTTATTTAAAAAAAAAAATTTACTGACCCCAAACATTTGAATGGTAATGTACTACTTAAGGATACCATTATTGCCACTGTTTATAAACATCTGCAAAGTTACCATCTGCATGAAAAAAGCAATTGAGATCAATATAGTTCAATTAAAAAAGAGACATCTTAAACTCAGTAAAATCATTCAAGATAAAGAGCAAGAAATTAAGTTTAAGGTCTAAAAACAAAATGTGTTGAAATATATTAGTATAATAGGTGCCAAGAGCACTTTTGTCATAGTACCGTACATTTGTTTGCTCAAAGTCAGCTTGTTAAAGCATACAAAACAAGATAATTTAGAAATGTAGAATTAAACATTTTGATGCATTTCCTTGCTTGAACTTTTAAACCTGTATACCAAGACTGTGTATTAATTGTTTAAAATAATAAATAACACATTTAAACTGGAACAAAATTGTCTGTTTGAGATTTTGTCCTTTGCTAGATGAAGATGGATTACACCATATAGGCACAATGACTTGGAAGGATGTTACTAAAAATCCTTTAAACTCATAAAAAAAAATAAAAAAAAAAATCACAACCAAAATGCTGGCACTGAAGCAGAATCTCTGCAAGTGATAGAAATGTTCGTCATGGTGAGATGATAGCAGTAATTCGACCTTCAAGATCAAAATGAACAGTTTGAGCTCTTTGGAGTTTGTGCAGGTACCATGCGGTATGGTGTGAGCTTTTCTCCCCAGGCCCGTCACTTATTCTGAAGCCACCTTGTCATGACTTTCATTATGTAATGTTGCACTTTTGGTCTCATTTCCCTCTTCTGAATCTCTCGCCATCTCTTTTTCTCATGCTCTGGCCCAGTCTTCAATCTCTGTTTGTCTATTATGGGACCAGCTGGGCTTAGTACATCATAGCCATGGCAGTGGGGGAGGTGGACGTCCCTGACCAGTGCTTACATAATGCATCCTCAAGAAAACATGCCAACTTCTCGCAGTCTTCCTGCATGACACAAAAACAAGATAATAGCAATCACACATAAAGCAAAACTATTCATTTCATCTGAAGGTTAAGACAAAAATATACTAAACAAGAATTGGTAACATCAAATGGGAGTTTTTCGTCCCTTGCCACGGTTTCCTTTGGCTTGCACACTAGAGGACTAAAGATGTATCATGTACAATGTGTTATGTATAAGTATTAACTTTCTGTTAATTCCTCAGTTAAACTGCTTAGGGTTGGGTGACATAATTCAAATTTTAACCCTGTCATTTATATGCATGATACACATCACCAAATAGTAATTAGGCTTGTTACTACACCAAATTGCTATAAATTGAACAATACCTTACAGGTTTCATGTGGTTTTCACCATTTAACAAATAATAACACCAACTTACAATTACTATGATTAACTTTACCCACATACATTCAGTATACTCATGTAAAAAACAATACATATAATATATAGCAAATATGGTATATGCTTAAATATAGTAAGTATAGTATATAAATATAGTATAAGCTCTTATCTGCTAAATGTGACTAAAAGGCACGAAGAAGCCTGATGTTTAGAAGATCTTGAGCTTACCTCACTGATGAAAGCATGGTGAACCAATTCACTAGCCAAATCTTTGGGACTGTCAGCTGAAAAAAAATGTAAATGTACTTTTCAGCCATTTACACACATCTCATATATTCTCATTTTTATTCTAAAAAAATAAATGCAACAAGAACACGCTTGAATGTTTTAAAATGTACTTACATGGCAAAACATCACAGCTAAGCTGACGGTGAAGCCTGTCATCCATCTTTAAAAAAAGAGAGAGCTACAGAGAAAGAAAGGATAGATGATGCACAATGTCCACAGCTTTTCAGGTGAAGAAGCTAAGCAAAACTAAATGGCAAAAAAAGGTAACTCACATGACTCCTTGTGCCATCCTCATTCGCTTCCAAATTACAGTGGATCTGGACAACCTGTATGAAACCACAAGGATTTGGCTATTTAGTGCCTCTTTTCTGTTGCACAAATCAAACACCCCAGGTTTTTAAGAGGACAGAGTCTCATGGAGTAATAGAAAGTTAGAAGAAAGTAAGTGAAATACTGTTTGTACATGGATGAGATACATCGATCACCATTTCTGGGAAATATTTAAACAGACATCAGCTTTTTCAGATTGACCCCTTGCTCATCATCTGTATCAGATCTGGACACACTTTCCATCAGTCTGCCAACATTTGTTAAACCACTAATATTTTGCTTCAAAAACGACGACACAGAGTTTAAAATGAATTGTGAATCTTCTGAGCAGTGTTAATTTACACAAACTGTGTGAACGAACTGATTGACTAACTTGAATCAGTCTTCCCAAAGCTTTATTTGAAGCAAAGCATCACTACTCGGGAGTTAGTAACTCTCAACATTGTTTCTAATATAAATCGTATTCTAACCTTTCTGGTTTCAGTCTCCTGTGGTTCTGGGGTTGGGGTCTTCACAGTCTCCATCTGTTCCTGTGACAAAGAAAGAGTGCGGGGGATAGGATGCGGCCGCTGGGAAGCAAAGTTCATGAGGGGATATATGCCGTTCCTGTTTGAGCAGAAGAAGAAAGGTTTCAAATGCTCAAGTATGGAAACAAAAATAGACTAAATCTAAAATCAACTGATGTTCTCTGTGACTCACTTCACATCCTCAAGGAATTTGTCCAGCTCCAGAGGAGAAACGTGAGAGTACCTTGAAAAAAAAAAAGAGAGAAGTACGTCAGAGGAAAGTGAGAAACAATCAGAAAAGAGAATCAGAAACTTCCTATTTTTTTTTGAGAAACTCACTTTAGATGGACTCCAGGTCGGTCACGATGATTAATCTCTGCCATGATGCCATTAGGGTCAATAGATTTAGTTTTCTCTTCCACACAATTCTCAGGAAGGAGATCTGGAAAAAATGAAAATAAGTTGAAGACTTAAACCAAAGAGAAATGGAAATATGAAGAAGCAACAATTTCCTTTTGCATAAATGGGCCATGCATAACATTTCTGTTATGTCTAAGATCAAAATTTTTCTCCACTTAATATGTTGGTTAATTATATTATGATTGACTGTATAAAGATTTCAATTGACTCTTTTTGTATGTGATTTTTCTTTCCCCCTTCTCTAGCTCTTCTGTATATATTTGTCAGTTGCCAATGAAGTAACTGGCCTATTGTTGATTTATTGATTTATTTAATACACGCGTGTTGATATGTGAGGAATTGGATATTAAAAGGGTTACTCCACCCCAAAATGAAAATTTTGTCATTAATCACTTACCCCCATGTCATTCCAAACCCCTAAAAGCTTCGTTCATCTTCGGAACACAATTTAAGATATTTTGGATGAAAACCGGGAGGCAATCTGAATTTTATGAAGCGACGAGAATACTTTTGTACGTAAAGAAAACAAAAATAACGACTTTATTCAACAATTCGTCTCCTCCGTAGCGCTGTTGTTTTTGTTTTCTTTGCGTACAAAAAGTATTCTCGTCGCTTCATAAAATTCAGATTGAACCACTGATGGCAGATGGACTATTTTGACGATGTCTTTCATACTTTTCTGGACCATGACAGTGTTATTTACTTGGCAGTCAATGGGACAGTCACAAGCCTCCCGGTTTTCATCCAAAATATCTTAAATTGTGTTCCGAAGACGAACGAAGCTTTTAGCGGTTTGGAACGACATGGGGGTAAGTGATAAATTTTTGGCTGTTTTTTTTTTTTTTTGCCTTTTATTGATAGGATAGTAGTGGGAGAGAGAGGGGGGATGGGATCGGGAAACGTCCGCAAGCCGGGACTCGAACACGGGACGCCTATATATATATATAGCTCAATTTTGCAACTTCTAGTGTCATGAAACATAACTGTCCCAAACTTTTTTCCCAAACACTCCCCTCATCTGTCATTGGCCAAACAAACAGACAGCCCCGCCCCCAAACTCACACCATTGGCTGAGTCAGTGTTTCTATGCTGGGTTGGTCAAGATGCTCAAACAAAGAAATGTTTTGATAGCGGCACAGAGTCACAGTGTTTACTGACTTTTAGTTGTCTCTGTATATTAAGCTGGGAAAATATTTTTTTATTTTACTTCAGCTTTAACAGCAAATGTGCAGATGAGTTCAGGAGATGATGCTAAATCCTCAATGTCCTACCTGAGTGCAGAGAGTATCTGCGTGCACCAACGCTTCCATGCCTGAGACATACAGATAGTACCAGTGTGTTATGATTTTGTCATATTTCTGCCAGAAGGTGGCATTGTCCTCTAACTTTTCTGCATGTAGGGTTTTCAGTTTCTATGATTGATGAAACATCGCACCTTCACATTCATAGTTTTGTGGTTTTTCTTGGTCTTCTTCAAAAACTGCTTGAGACTTCCAGATGACATATATTCAGTGATAAAAATCACCTGTGTGGCACGAAATGAAAGAAAACGTGAATGTCTGAATTTAGGGTAAAGTTCACAGAGGCGTTCATTTCTATCAGGTGTGCCTTGCGTCTCACCCTCGCTCTGCTCTCGCTCATGTCCAACCAGTACTTGTGAAACTTCACAATGTTCGGATGCTCCACCTGCATCAGGTTCTCAAACATCTCCTTTATCCGCTCCTGCATTTTTGCCTTTTATTGATAGGATAGTAGTGGGAGAGAGAGGGGGGATGGGATCGGGAAACCTCCGCAAGCCGGGACTCGAACACGGGACGCCCGAAGCGCAATGGCGCTACATGTCGACGCGCTGCCCACAAGGCTATCTGTGACGACAGGGATAAGTGATTAATGACAAAATTTTCATTTTGGGGTGGAGTAACCCTTTAAGATGAACAGTTTCAAAAGAACACTGAGGAAGGTCCTGCGTGACCAAAACGTTTGTTGATTTTAAAATGCACTGAGCACTTTTTTGCACTTTGTAACAAAGAAGATTGCTAGTATCTTGGCATGTAATCCTTTTTTTTTGGATATACAGCAAACACATTTCAAGGATTGAGTTTTTTGCTCTATGGTGGAATTTAAGATCAAAATTAAAGCATTTCTACTCGTGAGGACTCAGCAAGGGATGAACTTACACTGGTTATTGATAAAGCAGTGCGCAGCAAGCAGTTTTAAGACACTCGCCTTGTCTGTCATTGGCCAAACAAACAGACAGCCCCGCCCCCAAACTCACACCATTGGCTGAGTCAGTGTTTCTATGCTGGGTTGGTCAAGATGCTCAAACAAAGAAATGTTTTGATAGCGGCACAGAGTCACAGTGTTTACTGACTTTTAGTTGTCTCTGTATATTAAGCTGGGAAAATATTTTTTTATTTTACTTCAGCTTTAACAGCAAATGTGCAGATGAGTTCAGGAGATGATGCTAAATCCTCAATGTCCTACCTGAGTGCAGAGAGTATCTGCGTGCACCAACGCTTCCATGCCTGAGACATACAGGTAGTACCAGTGTGTTATGATTTTGTCATATTTCTGCCAGAAGGTGGCATTGTTCTCTTAACTTTTCTGCATACGGGTTTTTCAATTTCAATGATTGATAAACATTTCACCTTCACATTCATAGTTTTGTGGTTTTTCTTGGTCTTCTTCAAAAACTGCTTGAGACTTCCAGATGACATATATTCAGTGATAAAAATCACCTGTGTGGCACGAAATGAAAGAAAACGTGAATGTCTGAATTTAGGGTAAAGTTCACAGAGGCGTTCATTTCTATCAGGTGTGCCTTGCGTCTCACCCTCGCTCTGCTCTCGCTCATGTCCAACCAGTACTTGTGAAACTTCACAATGTTCGGATGCTCCACCTGCATCAGGTTCTCAAACATCTCCTTTATCCGCTCCTGCATAACACAAAGTACATCAACTCTTGGTTTCACATTTCAAGCACTGTTTCTGTCACCATACCACCATTCCAGCATGATTGATGACACTCCAATACAGTAACATTTCACAGATATTTGTGGTGCAGCATACTAAGTATCCCACCCATAATATCGATGTTGGAAAACAAGCATGGTCCTACCTCAAAGGACTTGAATCTTGGCATGTAATCCTTTTTTTTTGGATATACAGCAAACACATTTCAAGGATTGAGTTTTTTGCTCTATGGTGGAATTTAAGATCAAAATTAAAGCATTTCTACTCGTGAGGACTCAGCAAGGGATGAACTTACACTGGTTATTGATAAAGCAGTGCGCAGCAAGCAGTTTTAAGGAGTGGACCTCAAATAACACTCTGTGGAACAGCAGGTCATGAGCTGTAGGTCTCGTCTTGGCTTCTGTGAGCACACACGACTGGATAAATTCCTGTCAGTGTAAGTGATGAAGGCATTACAGTAAACCCAAAAAATTCAACAGAACTGTATTAGTTATAAACATACACTTAAAGTCTTTTACCCTCATGAGAGGGTCCTCAAGTGATTGTCCAGCATGATCAATGGCCTCTTTCGAAACTGCAGTGTCTCCATTGGCCTGGATTTCCAGTACTGCCATCTAAAAGTGAGTGGGGAAAACAAAATTAAGTCATACATAATGTTGTTCTTTTGTACTTACTATAATCTACTATTTATTTGATAGTTTAGTTAGATTGTTAAAGTAATACTCAGACCTCCAAGGCACAGATGCCAAATGAAAATATATCAATGGCGTAGTCATCTTCAGCAACTTGAAAAAAAGAAAAGAAAGAAATGTCATGAAAGTTAACTTATTTCTATTTTGCATTTTACTAATGTATTACAAATTATAAGCAAAACTATTTTTCTTTGCTGAAAAAAAATCCTACAGCTTTCTTTTTATGCCCAGGTTTAAATGAAAAATATTCCAGATATTTTCTAGATTTCAGATTTTTTTCAGATTGAGAAAGATGACAATATGGTAAAGGCATCGGATACTCACTGCCATACTCCGGAGCAAAGAAATGCTGGTTCCGCATTTCATCTCGATGTTGATGCACATTCCCATGAATCGCCTCAGCAAATACTAAGGGAAACACACAACATTCAAACTCTATATATAACATTATATATGAATGGAAAAATTATTGCCAGTAAACATACAAGATCTCCAGCACATGGGCTAGAGTCCAAAATAAATACTCTGAACGGGCAATTATTTATGCCTTAGATTGTGAAAGCTGACAAGAAATATTACAGTACAATACATAACTGCCACGATTTTGGGCCAATATACGCAAAGCATTGTTTAAGGAAGGAAGGAAAAGAAACAGTCTAAGTACGGTCTGTGTTTTCTTTCTGATGAGATAACCAAATTCCTGTGCACATGGCATAGAGAGCTCAGAATGGACTTACCGTTAACAAACAGCCTGTGCCAAACTGTAAAAGAAAGAAGAGACATATAACTTTTCTAAAAACAGATATTCTATGTTAAAAATAATCAAACATCAAATCTTTTTGAGTTAAACCTTAAATACAAGAATTAAAATACTACAGTCAAACCTGAACCGATCTTTATGAGACCATTGTGCTGGATAAAGATGGTGTCACAGGTCAGGTTACCGTGTATAATAGGTGGATCACATGAATGCAAGTAACTAAAAGACAGAAAAGATAAAACATCAGTATTGTATTCACAAAAAAAATCCTTCGAAACACACTGAAAGTTAAAAAAAATCCATACATAAAAAAATTGTATAAAAATAAATTAATTTATAAGAGAAAAAGTTTAAACTAGTATCAGTGTCCATGGCCAAGTACGCACTCTCAATGCCTGGGACATTTCCCTGACTGACCTAAACCAGAAAAAAAAGGACATAGAGAAAGAGGAAAGGGTGAAAGTGAGTTTAGCACTCCAGACTCTGCCAAGTTCAAACAAAGTACCATTTAGCCAGTGATATCTGCAATATTTACTTCTCGTTGCACAACTTTTTACAGTGTTTGCAAATGTGATATTTTAGTATCAACTTCTTGGTATTGTTAGTACAGGAAATGAGTATTTCTGTGAAGAAGGAGGAGGACACACCCCCTTTCCGCCCCCTTGCTCCACAACTTTCCCATGGTGCACTTTGTGGTTTGGGCTATGTGGAGCGAGCATGACAACACTGACTTTGAATGGCCTGTAAATTCTTGTCTGTTTTTTGTCTTTGGAATGCTCTCCAAACACGTCAAGTCTCCACTTTTTTTTGGACAAAACCAGTCCTTTATTATCACAACTGTCTAAAAGAAAACAAACCACCCAGCATTTTCATATTTTGATTTTCTATATTTATAGGCTGAATTTGCTCCCCTCCCGCTGACCGGTGAACTCATCTATGTGTTTTGGTGACAGACACAACATGAACCAGTCACGCTGAGATGCAGCTGCCCTCTAAAAGGCCTTGGATTCAACTGTATCTCAGATTTAAAAACAGATGACTACAAACTGATAATATTGTTTGCTATGCTTCAACAAAGAGCTTCTTAATTGGTCAAGGCGTTCAGGCACAGTAAAATATGAGTAGAATATGTTGTCGATGTTGGAAAATCATTTTAAAGTTTACTAGGCTAAATTGTATCAAGTCAAGTAGCAGTTCAAACACAAATGATGTGCATGATTGATGATAATATGCCAAAGTCTAATTCTATGAAGGTTTATCCTAAAAATGAACAGTTTATTTTGGTATTTTAAACACACTCACTGTCAATCGCCATTGTGTACCAGGCTCAGAGGTTGAATAGTGGCCATTAAAAAGACAAAAAAAACAACGAGTTTTATGACACTTTTACTAATACTGGCCGAGCAAAGCAAAGCTTGGTTACGTAAGACGGAGAACACAAGGACACTAAAAGCATGTCCAATTACATTTGGAGTTAATTAATTCCCTAGATGCCGCACAAACAGACAAGGAATGTTTTTGAAAACAAATAAAAAAAAAACTTTCCATTTCCTCTGAGAGCCAGAGAGCGCCCTTCTACCCAGCTGGCGTCTCCAAATTATGTGTAATCACAGGCGGTTGAGCCTGGCTAGTACTGTACCTCAAAGCACTAGTGATGCACATATAGGATGCAAAGATTTATTACAAATAAAAAAAAAACTTTCCATTTCCTCTGAGAGCCAGAGAGCGCCCTTCTACCCAGCTGGCATCTCCAAATTATGTGTAATCACAGGCGGTTGAGCCTGGCTAGTACTGTACCTCAAAGCACTAGTAATGCACATATAGGATGCAAAGATTTATTAAATTAAGATCTAGCGCATTTAAAAATCAATGTTCAACATCTTGTGTATAAAAAAGCCCACAGATATGTAATGCGTCAAACTACCCACAAATGAAGTAAGAAGCTGTCAAAAATAATGTAGTTGTGGTGTTCATTTCTTGGTTTCAGGGGCCAGTTGCATATAAGGTTTAGACTAGTCTTACAAGTTAGTCATCAATTTTTTTCTTTAAAACTGGTCATCATTTTTTAAACTCAGTTACATAAAAGCATACATTAGTCTAACTTGAATCCCAAAATAAGACTGATTACCCCTTGGCTATAACAGCTAGTTGGTCAAACTCATACTTAAGACATTGTCTTAACATAGAGGCTAAGTTTATGCAACTGCCCCCTGGTCTCTCTTGTGTGAGTGTTTATAAAGAATGTTTTGAGAATAAGTTGTTAGAAACTCTAAATACCAAATAACAGGGAACACTGTGCCCATAAAACCAGCTGATATCATCTCACGTTCAGGGCTTCGAAATCCTTTCTGACATGAACCCACATAACAGCTTTCCAAATGAAAACAAACATTACGATCTTCATTTCCTGCCCTTTCATCCCCTATCCTGCGTCTGTCACAGATACGCTTCCAGCTGTATTACCTCTTCCTGCATAATGTATGAAATCTAATAAGTTGTTCTTCTGTGGAACTACTTTCATCTCTGGAAACCTAACCGTGCATGCTCAGTTGTCCCTTATATATCCTGTCAAACATCTCTGAGGATTAACAAAGAGAAAATGTGAATGGATTTGCATGCATACCTGGACGAATTAGCACTTTATATGCAGGCACAGCTTTCCAGCTATACAATTATATCATCATGAAGAATTCAGCATGCTAACCCCAGATGCCTATTGGCCCCTCATACACAACTAAATGTCTTGTCTGGGTACAAATGCTAAACCTCTCTCTATGGGGCGGCTGCTTTTGTGATGGAGAAAGGTGACCTGACACCACAGTTTTAACTGACATACAGGAGACACTCATGTCTGCACTTTGCTGTAATGTTGGAACAAAATCGGTTGTGTAACACATAGAGACCCAATTTCAGATGTGAAAACAAGCAACACTTGTAAGCTAAACTGTCTCACTCAAGTCCACCATATAGCCTGAGGGCACCCTACTTAGGGGTCTGGAGGTGGAGATGAACACAAGACATGACATGAAGGACATAAAAATGTGCTGCTCCGCATTCTTGTGGTAAAGTTCTCTGAAAAAATTAAGGAGTTGCCTGAAATGAGCAGAAGTGCTGGTATTCTCGTCTGTTGTTCACCGCCCAACTATTGAAATGGAACACAAGGCACTTCAATCTACAAAGTGTTTCATGCTATCAATTTATGAGGTGTCAGAAATGTTTAGAAATGGCCAAATTTTTGAAGGTCATTCAATATACAGTCTGGGAACCAGCATATTGTATGATAAATACATTCAATTTTTTGTGCAGATGTAAAATACTTATAATTAAATAAAAATAGATAGATAAATAAATAAATAATTTAATGTTTATAAATATATTAATAAAAGATTTGTTAATGTTGAAAACTGATATTTTTGATATTTTTAATGTACCAAGTTAGAAGATTCCCTATAGCCTATAATTTACAGTGTTTGCTGAAGAGAATTACTTCCATATGCAAGCAAAACAGACCTTATAACTGACATATACTCAACTGAATAGAGTCAAATAAAAACCGATTCTAGAGCTAGTGAATGGATCAGAATCTAACTGAATCGGGAAATCGGTAGCAATACCCAGCCCACATTTTACACTTGCCCAACCAATTAACACAATTATTCCCCGCTTATCAATGTACAGTGTGAAATCTTTCTGAAAGTCTTACCAGGATTAATTGCTAACCCAGTTAAATATGAACAGGTAACCGCAGGGTTACATTAATCCTGGTTTAAAAATTACTATGGTTAAACATTTCCCATTTAGTTACTGGGAATTAGAAATAGTCAGGGTGCAACGAATCACAAATACAGGACAAGCATAAAAACCACTGATCTTCAATAAATGTACCTAAACACTCTGAGCACGTTATCAGTTTGACCTTCCTGAGACTCACACACTTGGCAGTCACTCAAAAGGAGTACTCAATGTGATAATCCTACGAGTAAAGTGTCACACTCATCAAGCTTTCATTGCATCCTCTACAAGCTTAAGCTGTATTGTGTAACTTTTCCCAAAGAAAGAGTGCTGACAGAGGCGTAGTATTTTCAGCTCTTGCCTCAGGGCATCCCTCTCCCAGACCCCTCAACCTTTTATCCTGCATTCATGTATGAAATAAAGAATTGGCAAAATCAGCATTAAGTGATGAACAGCTTTGCTTTTGGGTAAACCGGGCAAAATAGATGTGTTTATGGAAGTAGGAGGATGAAAGGTAAGCCAGGAATTTAAGTAGTCTATAAGGCAGGTCTATAATTGCACTCTTTTATAAATATGTGGTCAGTTGCTGTTTGTGATCTGCAGAAACGTATTGTTCTGTATGCCAGAAGCCCAAATACAGGCCAGTGGTGACTAATGCACCACTTTATTACATAAACCAGAACATTTTAAAAGCCACATCACGGCAAGTGCGCCACTAGGTTTGAACATGACTGGCACTTTTGAAGTGAGGAACTGTCACAGCAGGCCTGTAGGATCGAAGTCTGCTGCATTTTCAGTTTTGATAGCTCTGGTTTGAATGAGGGGTTAATGCGAAGAGCGATCAATGCTGATGGACTTGGAAGGATCATAAACAAAGAACAGTGCAATATGTAGCAGGCGACATCAAATGACTTAGCAAAAAGAGAAGTAGGGAGAAGGACGATGAGAGAAAGGTAAACAAAGAGCATTATAGAATAAAAGCATGATGTGATGTCCAAGCAAAATAGTGTTAGTCACTACATTCACTACTCATGAACTACTCATTGTGATGCTGGAGATGTGGGAAGCCATGGTGTGAACGGACTGAAAGCTTTGTCTCCTCTTCTAGCGGTTCTTTTTCTTCCTCTAATAGCTTTTGCTTTCTGTCGCAAAGTTCTGAAAACTGGTATTTTGCAATGTTGTGCCAAGAGAAGAACACCTGCAGCAACCAAACTAAATCTATCCAGCTTTGATAAGATAAACAAGTAGTTTATACCTAACCTTTTGGTTGGTTAAGGGACCAGCCTGAATACAACAATCACAATTATTAGACACAATCAAAGGAAAACTTGAAATCGCATCATATGACCCCTTTAAAATAAACTAAACTCATACATAATAGCAGTCCTGGTGATAAGTGAATAGGGGACCGAGCAAAGTTCTCCTATTACATGTGACACATGAATTTGGGTAGCTGAAATAAAGGAGTGTCTTTACTTGTGACATTCTAAAAAAAGAAAAAGGAAAAATGAGTATTTTTTAATGACTTTTAAGATTTTAGTAATTTACATTTTCAAGGCCTGGGAAACACAATTTGATATTTCCAGGACTTCCAGGATCAAGGAAACTGTGTAAAAAAAAAAATCCTATAAGTCATACATTATGGATGATTTGAGCCATTATTTAACCCCCAGCAGTGGAAGTAA